TGAAAATTATAGACCTGTGAGCTTAACTTCTGTAACTGGGAAAATATTTGAAGGGCTATTAAGGGTTAATATTCAGGAATTCATTGGGAAGAACTTTGTTATTAGCAATAATCAGCATGGTTTTATGAAACATCGGTCGTGTCAAACTAACCTAATTGCATTCTACGAAGAAGTAAGTAAAGGTATAGATCAGGGTGTTGTAGTGGATGTGATCTACTTGGATTTTGCCAAGGCATTTGATATGGTTCCTCACAATAGGTTAGTCTTCAAACTAAAAGAAATTGGTCTAGATGAATATTCTTGTTCTTGGGTAGAACATTGGCTTAAGGATAGAGTACAACGAGTTGTAATTAATGGTAAATTTTCAGGCTGGACAAAAGTGGTAAGTGGTGTCCCTCAGGGTTCTGTTTTGGGACCACTTCTATTTAACATATTTATAAATGATCTTGAAATAGGCATTGAAAGCCATGTATCAGTGTTTGCAGATGACACAAAACTTTGTAAAGTAATAAAATGTGAGCAGGATATTGCTTTGCTGCAGAGAGATTTGGATAGATTGGGGGACTGGGCACTAAAATGGCAGATGAAATTTAACATAGACAAATGCAAAGTTATGCACTTCGGGGTTAAGAATGCACAAGCAACTTACACACTAAATGGTAGTGAATTAGGGATAACCACACACCAGAAGGATTTGGGAATTGTTATAGACAACAAATTAGGCAGCAATATGCAATATCAATCTACAGTTGCTCAGGCCAGTAAGATTTTGTCATGTATAAATAGGGGCATAAATTCTCAGGATGAAAATATAATTCTGCCTCTTTATAAATCGCTGGTAATATGCTGTGCAATTTTGGGCGCCTGTTCTAAAGAAGGATATCATGGCACTGGAGAGGGTCCAGAGACGAGCTACAAAATTGATAAAAGGAATGGAGCATTTTAGTTATGAAGAAAGGTTAAAAAAATGTAATCTGTTTAGTTTGGAAAAACGGCGCCTGCGAGGGGATATGATAACTTTATACAAATATATTCGGAGCCAGTACAAACCTTTATCTGGAAATCTATTCATAAACAGGGCTGTATGTGGGGTGATGCAACCCCTATTTGACTGTTTTCTTTCACCCTGCTTATATCACTCACTATAATTCCTGTGCTCCCCTTTCCTACTTCAGATCTCATAGTTTAGATAGAAGGGATAAATTATTATTTTTAAATGTGCTCAACATAAGAGAAGAAAAAGTGAGGGAATGTGGTGACATTCTGTCATCAAACTAATATGGTGACCAGGGGTCATGTGACCAAGCTCATGTTTGCTTTTCTTACAGTGGGATAAGCTTTACCCTTTTGAAATGTTAATTGGTAATTCAATACCTTTACAAGTCAGGAAAGAGATAACCACTTCCCCTTTCTCCATTCCTCTCTGTTCCTTCTTGGCTGTGCTGCAGAGCAGATGTGCAGACGCCATGGGCTAGCATGGTGAACCATGTTACACTCTGTTGCTTCCTTTTCTTCCTTGGTGGATGTGATGTTGAACTTGCAGCAGTGAGTCATTACTAGATGTGAAGGCCTAACCGTGGGTGAGATCAAGCGTGTGTGTAAGGGGTTCAGGGCTCGAGTCCTGCAGGAACGCGTGGGAACGGCGTTCCTGCACTTTTTTCACAGCAGGAACGCCGTTCCCCCTGCAGGCACTCAGGGGGCGGCAAAAAATGCCGCCCCCAAATGCCCCCCCTTGTTTCCCCTGTCATGGGGGGGGGGCAACCTGATGGATTGCCCCCTTGGCGAACGGCTCTCTCCCTGTCACACGCGGAGAGGGAGCTGTGTGCTCTCTGCTCCCTCTCGCCGCGCGGGATGTCTGTTGATGCTGGGAGCCGGAATATGACGTCATATTCCGGCTCCCAGTATCAGCAGACATCCCGCGCGGCAAGAGGGAGCAGAGAGCACACAGCTCCCTCTCCGCGTGTGACAGGGAGAGAGCCGTCCTCACTGCAGCCCCACTGGACCCCAGGGAAAGGTAGGGATGCTGGGTGGGTGGGATATGTTAATTTGTTAATAATATTATTAATTTGTATATGTGGATGTCTGTGTGTGGATGTCTGTGTGTGGATGTCTGTGTGTGGATGTCTGTGTGTGGATGTCTGTGTGTGGATGTCTGTGTGTGGATGTCTGTGTGTGGATGTATGTTTGTGGATGTATGTTTGTGGATGTCTGTGTGTGGATGTGTGTATGTCTGTTTGTGGATGTCTGTGTGTAGATGTCTGTTTGTGGATGTCTGTTTGTGGATGTGTGGATGTGGATGTCTGTTTGTGGATGTGTGGATGTGGATGTCTGTTTGTGGATGTCTGTTTGTAGATGTCTGTTTGTAGATGTCTGTTTGTGGATGTCTGTTTGTAGATGTCTGTTTGTAGATGTCTGTTTGTAGATGTCTGGATGTGTGGATGTCTGTTTGTGTGGATGTCTGTTTGTGGATGTGTGGATGTCTGTTTGTGGATGTCTGTTTGTGGATGTGTGGATGTCTGTTTGCGGATGTGTGGATGTCTGTTTGTAGATGTCTGTTTGTGTGGATGTCTGTTTGTGGATGTGTGGATGTCTGTTTGTGTATGTGTGGATGTCTGTTTGTGGATGTGTGGATGTGGATGTCTGTGTGGATTTGTGGATGTCTGTTTGTGGATTTGTGGATGTCTGTTTGTGGATGTCTGTTTGTGGATGTGTGGATGTGGATGTGGATGTGTGGATGTGGATGTGTGGATGTCTGTTTGTGGATGTGTGGATGTGTGGATGTCTGTTTGTGGATGTCTGTTTGTGGATGTGTGGATGTGTGGATGTGTGGATGTCTGTTTGTGGATGTGTGGATGTCTGGATGTGTGGATGTCTGTCTGTGGATGTCTGGATGTGTGGATGTCTGTCTGTGGATGTCTGTCTGTGGATGTCTGTTTGTCTCAGTGTGTGTAGGAGTGTATTTATGTCTGTTAGCGTTTGTACGTGTGTATGTGAGTGTATGTGCTTCTGTTAGTGTATGCATGTGTATGTTTGCAATTGCATGTATGTGCATACGTTATTGTAAGTTTCTGTCAAATAAGTGAGAGTCTGTCATTTAGTGTGTGTGTGACTATTAGTGTGTGTCTCTCTGTCAATGAATAAGTGTGTGTCAGTGAATGTGTGTGTCAAATCAGTGACGTCTGTGTGTTTGTCATTGAATGTGTGTGTTACTTATAGTGTGTATCTGCCAGTGTGGGTGTCTGTCAGAGAGTGTGCTTAAAGGGACACTATAGGCACCCAGACTACTTCAGCTCCTTGAAGTGGTCTGGGTGCAGTGTCCCAGTCCCCTTAAACCTTCTCAGAAACTGCAATAATTACCTGAGGGGTAACTCCAAGTCTAGTGGCTGTCTATCAGACAGCCACTAGAGGGACTTTCGGGTGGTTAGGTGACCAAAAGTCACCTAACTGATGCTGGACGTCCTCACCCTGTGCATGAGGACATCCAGCATCTGCTAAATACCGATAGGATTTTAACCCCTTCAGTGTCGAGTGGGGGAGGGGAGGACATGAGAGGAGGGGGGCACTATACGGAATTATAGTGCCAGGAAAACAACTTTGTTTTCCTGGCACTATAGTATTTCTTTAAAAGGAGCAGGAAAAGGTGGAGTCTAAAGAGGAAGGGGTGGGTTCTTAATCAGGAAGCGGTGCACCCTTGACATGAAGGAGTGGTAAATTTAGATTAGGGGGGTGCTCTATAGTCATGTCTAGGGCAGCATAAAATTAAAATACACCACTGTGTGAGTGTGTGTGCACGCGTGTGTATGTATGTATATATATATATATATATATATATATATATATATATATATAAATATATATATATATACACACACACACACACACACACATACATGCATATATATACACATACATACAAGTGTTTTTTTTTTTTTTGGGAGAGTTCCACACTTTTTTCCCCAGGACTTGACCCCTGGTTCTATGTACTGCTCATCCAGGCACCTCATGTTGATTATCCCAGTAGTGGAACTAATGTAGAGGGCCCTGGTGCAAGTATGTTTTCTGGGTCCCCCTCTAGTGCAAGTATGGCCAAAAGGTAGATCTCGATCTGTCGGAGAACTTAACAATGTTATGCCAGCTGGGAATCTACCATTTGCCCATCGTTGTAGGGTTATATTTGTGAGCAGTGTTTGAGCGTTTGAATGTAAGCATGTTTGTGTATTAAGTATATGTGTGCATGTATGGGAGTATTTGTATGTATTGTTGCCATTGGAATGTAGTGGTGTACTTGTTTGTAATGTTTGCGTCTGAATGCAGGGGTGTTTGTATGTAGTGTAGGACTTTAAATGCAGACATGCTTTTCGTGTGTAGTTTTGGTGTTTCAATGAAGGGGTGTTTGTATATAAATTTAGTGTTTTAATGCAGGGGTGTGTTTGTATTTGATTGCAGTGCATGTGTAGTGGATGCAGTGTGTATGTATGTGTGTGTGTGTGTAGTGGATGCAGTGTGTGTATTTTGTGTATATAGAATATACATATACACAATGTGTGTTTGAATGTAAGCATGTTTTTTGTATGGAGTATGTGTGCAGTGTATACACATACACACATACAGAGACACACAGACGCACAAATACACACATACAGAGACATACACAGACACAGTGACACAGATACACACACAATGACACCTAGTTTCCCACACACAGATACACAGACACACAATGACACCTAGTTTCCCACACACAGATACAGACACACTGACAGAAAAGGACACTCAGATACACATGTGCGCAGAGACAGGAGGTGAGGGTGACAGTGTGGGAGCGTGTGTGCAGGTAACAGTGTAGGGGGGCAGTGTGAGGGCAGGGGGAGAAAGGGTTACAGTAGGTGGCGGGCAGGGGGAGCGAGGGCTATAGTGGGGGGGCATGGAGAAAAAGGGTTACAGTGGGGGGAAAGGGAGAGAAATGGTTACAGCGAGGGTCAGGGAGAGAAATGGTTACAGTGTGGGGAGGGGGCAGGAAGTGAAGGGGTTACAGTGTGGGGAGGAGGGCAGGGTGAGAAGAGGTTACAGTGTGGGGAGGGGTGCACGGAGAGAAGGGGTTACATTGGGGAGGGCAGGGAGAAAAAGGGTTACATTGGGGGAGGGCAGGGAGAAAAGGGGTTACATTGGAGGGGGGGGGGAAGACAGGGCCTGGGGGCTGTGTCCTACCTTTATTAAATTCCCTGGTGGTCTGGTGGGTTAATGCTCTGGTCTGCAGCT